AGGACTGGCCTAAGGGTTATTTTTTAGCTGGGTTTTATAACAATTTTTAAAAATAACAAAGGCCTAATAATATTTCATCTTAATTAACATTTTAACTTTAGTATTTTTTGTATTTATGTATTTGTTTTTAAAAGGCTGTAAGCCGCCCTGAGTCCGTAGGGAGAAGGGCGGGGTAAAAATATAAATAATAAATAAATAATAAATAAAATAAAATAAATTGTTAGGTACTTTTACCTGCGATTGAATGAAACTAAACTGGTTCTATTTCTCCTTGAATCCTTGGAATTCTTAGACACATATTAGTACAAAACCCTGTTTTATATCAAATGCTTATTTTCATTTAATGCTAGAACCTTTTCTAGTTTCCGTGTTACTGTCAAATTTAAGACATGCTATATTTCATGGTTGTTTTGTGTATAATATATTTGCTGATCTCTCAGTGTTTGATCCTTTCTGCTCATTCCAGGCTCTCCTCAGGTTCATACAGTGGCTCTGGGGAGCTCTGTGCAGTCCAGCTCAGTGGTTGCTCTTTTGGCATCAGACTGTTCCAGTCACACCTCCACATTCACCCTTTCTTCTTCCCCTGGAAAACAGCAGTCTCTCTAGTGACTGGGGTGAAGAAGATGAGGGTGATGAAGAGAGCCTTGGCGAGGGTGTACTTGATCTGTCTGAGATAAATGAATGACATAATCACACTTGCCCTGTGGAGCTACAGTCGTTAGATAAGTTCCTTTTCTACCTATCTCAAAATGTGGCAGAAGTAGAAAGTGAACATGAACAAGTGGCCTGCATCAGAATATATTAAAAATAGTGTTAGATGAATCCTAGTGCTTAAGGTCAGTGAAGTGCTTGCCTAATTTGAGAAACAAATAAGCTCAAATCTCAAAACTTCATTGGAAAAATTCCCTTCTGATACTGGAATTGATGAATTAGTAACACAAATTCGATTTACCCATCCTTTTTTAGAACTTCTTAATTCCGTAATACTTCACCTGCATGCAGTAATCTTATCTCTGGTTTTAGCAATCTCTGAAACCCAAAATAGAGGACAGCGATTAGGCTTGTGAAAAGTATTTGAAGAAGCACTTTGTAAAGAGCCCTACCAATTTTGCTGCCTGGAGCATAACTGACAACCAAGGAAGAGCTTCAAATTGATTGTTCCCTGTCTTTGAGAGAGAAACTGCCTCACTATTCCATGCAGCAGTATCCTCCAATGCTTTTTACAGTTGTAAAATTTTTCTAGAACACCATCCCAAGCCTGAAGCCAACCTATGACATTAGTAAACTTATCCAATTCTATTTTTCATATGAGAATGTATTTCTCTTGATATTTTCTCTAATTATTAGGAAATGTTTTTTTAGCTTATGAAATGCTGTTAATTATTAAGCATTAAAAGAATTACTTGGTTGAAAGTACTCATCCAGCTTTTAAACAAAATTTCATCTTTGTTTAATTGCTAAGGATAGCCAACTGTCCTATCAAAAAAATAATTATCCCCTGATCATTCAAATTATTTCTGGCTAGGAATTCACCTTTTGGAGGCAAATGATTAATACTCTTTGCTTTTTTCCGCCTTTTCTCAGCATGACGAGTGGAGAATCCACCAATGGGTTATGCTTGTCTTCTGCCCATAGACTAAGTCAGTCAATTTTGCTCCGCCTCTTCCAAGGACCTCCATTCCCCAGTTCTCGACTTAGTCTCAGCCCATTCAGACTGTTATTTCTGGCTCCAGAAGAAATTCTTTGAATCAGGTCGTATTTTCCTTTCATTTTTGTTTACTTCGTGTCGAAGGGAGGGAGAGGGAGAAGGACGAACAGCTGTTCGTTTTCTTCTCTTAGCCGGGCGATCGCAGCGCTACCGCAAGGCTCTCAGGACAGCCGATCAGACTGAACAAAGAGCTGGGGCGCCATTTTAGTTGACCACCCAGCGAGCCCCAGGGTGTGGGGAAGGCCTTTGTTTAACCTCAGATTCCCCCCCCCCCCCAAGCACCTCTCTTCCTCCTATAGTTCCTTCTTAAGGGAGCAGCAGATCTTCCTTGGGGTTTTCCTTTATTTTATTTTTTTTCTCCATAGCCGGCTGATCCGCGGGGGACTGTTAGATCTCTGTGGCTTTTCTGACAGTTTTTGAGCTGCGGAGAGCTGATAGATCTTCCGCGGGGCATTTCCGAGCCCAGCTGAGCCGCGGAGAGTGAGACGCCTCATAGGGCTTTTCCCGGTGATCAGCTGGGCCGCGAACATTGATACGGCTCAAGGG